CTCAGCGCCTGCTAAGGATGGGAGCGGGTTCTGTCCAGGGAGGAACCGCTGCTCTGCCCCAATTAACAGCTGCTGAAGCAGCCTCAGTGGCACCCAGCCTCCATCCCAAGCACGACCGGTGCCCCGTGCCCCAGCGCCATTCCAGTCAGACTGGGATTTCGGGCCCTTGCTGGGACAGCATGGCTTTCCCTGCAGCACGGCCCTCAGGGTGCACGCTCTGCGGCCCTGCTGGGCACCCCTCCGCCCTCACTGCCGTTGCCAGCTCTACCCCCACAGTTCGGCTGGTGCCTCTCGGGGGGGAGACAGGGAGGGAGGACACACACTGAGCTGCACTGATCGCATCTCAGCCTCTTTGGTTGTAGAAGGGGCATGCGGGGACAGCCATGGGTGCAGCACAGCCCCAGGCCACCCCCTCACACTCCCTAGGTTGCCACAGGAACAAAAGCAGCAAAAGAAATAAAATCAATCAGCTCTTTTCCCCTGTGTGGTGGTTAGTGCTGTGTGGAGGAGACACCGTGAGGGGTGACACGCTGCGAACACAAACCAGGCGAGCGTGCTGGGGGGGTTCAGTGCCAGGGAGCAGCCTCTGGCCCCCGAGCACAGGACAGGACCTGGGGGAGCTGCCACCACGCACCAGCTAAAATCTCCCTCGCGCCTTCCCCTCGCGTCCTCCCGGTTGTCTCCTACCGCTGCCAACGGCACGAGAACAGCAGAGCCATGGAGCTGCCACTTCCGCGATCTCTTAGCTGACCTTGCAGGGAAAAAACAAGAACAACCCAAAAAATGTTACAAGCTGCACCCAAATCCAGGGGCCATCCCAGCCCTGGAGCTGCGAGTGCCCCTCGTACAGCGTCCCCGGGCCCTGGGAGGTGCACAGAGCCAGGACGCAGCCCCCCCCAGCCCACAGCCCTCCCCAGGGTGCAGGGCAGTGGCTCTGCGCCCACCCACACGCCCGGCAGACATGCGGTGCCGGGCTGCCCCATTGGCACCGGGTCTGGGCACAACCCCGGAGCTCGGCAAAGCTCCTCCTCGCTGGGCTGCGTCGGAGCCGGCGCGGGGCAGCTCAAAACTACTTACAGCATATTTTTTTTTTTTTAAACACATGCTCGTTTATGAAAACAATCACCCTGGCACGGTCCAAGCATATACAGACAAATCTACTCTCCAAAACGCGCTACTTACAGCATATTTTTTTTTTTTTAAACACATGCTCGTTTATGAAAACAATCACCCTGGCACGGTCCAAGCATATACAGACAAATCTACTCTACAACACGAGGGGCTGCCAAAGGAATGGGGAAAAGCCTCTACTCATCCACTCAGCGGTTCCAGCACAGCCACGGAGAGGGGAACGGCCATCCAGGGCCCCTTCCGCAATGGGATACCCCGGCGTCACCAGTACTCCAACTGCCGGAGCTGAGAGCGGGTTTGGGGGATACCTGGCAGTTATCTTCATACACATCTCGGCTTTCGGAGGTAAAAACAAAAGGTTTCTTCCAAATCAGCAGGCAAATTTAATGCAGAAAG